AAAGCAACCTGATGAAATATTACATGAAGATCTCAACAATAAGAACAAAATAGAGTGATTGCTTTTGATACCCTTGCAAATTCTAATCTAGTGGAGGAAAATGCCTTATTTTGTCATATTTTTATTTGCCAGAAGTACCAGCAACAACCTTAATTATCTAAAGCTATAGGGGAAACATTTATATTCAAGTCAGAAGAAAAATAAAAATTAATGATAACATCTCATTTAATGGGAGTTACTCAACAGTATTAACATATCTTCTATATTTAAATTTTAATTGTAGATAAAAGCTTCATATTGGTCAAATTGATTACTTATTGTGAAAACAAGGTCAAAGGTAATCCATATTGCAATTGTAACTCTAGATAGGATGATGGAATGGTTGGGGATAAATGTCTGGTGCTCTTTTTTTCTGTTTCTGGTTTATTCTACTTTACTAGGAGAGGCAGACAAATAAGTGTTCTAGAATAGATGAGTAGATAAAAATGTGGTATATATGATACACAATGGTATGCCACCCAGCTATAAGACAAAATGAAATCCTGCTGTTTACTGTATCTTAGAAGGAACTGGTAGGTATCGTGCTGAGAGAAGTGAGTCAGAGGAGGACAATTTCTATATGTGGAGTCAGAAGAAACACCATAAGGGTATAAGAAATGACCCATGACAACAGATCCTAGAGTCAGTTGATAATATTGAGCCTGCCAAGTGTTGAGATACTGAGGGACGCTGACTCTGGTGGCAGGTGTGAGGTATCAACACAATAACATCCTAAGCCTACACATGAACAACACTGTAGACCATGGAGCCGAAGTGAAAACTGATAACTAAATAAGAACGAGGTTGCAGAACAAAATTGCCTACTTTGAATCTTGGATTCTTGAACTTCAGATATATGACTGTTTCTTCACTGTTGGATGGGGGTGTTATGAAGGTTAAATGAGTTCATGCATCTGACTTAGCCTGACTGAAAGTGTATCATACGGGTTTGCCTCTTAGCCTCCATCCCACACCCAGCGATGAAAATACAGCCAACTGAATGTACTACTTTACCCTGGTGATTCTATAAGACTTGAAGTTAGAAGTAAACAAATGATGGACTCCAAGTTAATAAATGTTGACCATAGAAATAGCAATGTTTAGAGATTTTCTGTAACTTATGTGATGGAAAGTGTGACACTCAAGTGCAAATATAATTTCTAATTCCCAGAGATAAGCAGATAAGCATATGTCACATGATAGGCAAACAAGACATGAATAGCAATGCAAATGATTCAGATATGAATAGCCACAAACTATATGCCAGAATACTGTCAAATCACTTTATGAATTGCCAAACAATTTTGTCAAAATGTGCAGCATCCAACAAACTATCAGAAAATTCTCTCATGAATGCTGCTTAAGCTAAAGTAATTCTATTTTTCCACTATGTAGAGGCTCAATTTTTAAAAAATCTTAATCTACCATGATAATGATGGCAGCAATGATCATCATAATTATTAACATTTTATATCACTAAATGCTTCCGAGGTGCCAGGATTTGTTCCCAGTACTTTTAATATATTATCAGGAATACATGAAAATATTATTTGACAGTCGTTTTTGTCCCAGGAGGATTGCATTGTAATCCTCCTTTGATGAGAAAAAAACTAAAGACTAGAATTGTTGGGGGAAAAAAGCTAGGGACCATAATTAGATATATAGCTGGTAAGCAAAGCTAGGAAGAGTACTCTGCATATCATCCTGAGAACATTGTTTTCTAATTTTATTTTGAACAAATGGATAATGTTTTGAGGCAAGAAATACTAATGCTCAAGCACTGCATGACAGCCAGGAGGCTGAAACTACTACTCTTAAGGAGGGTGAACCCTTTTCAACAAGAGTTAAAAACTCATGGTCTAGTTCAGTGGAGACTGTGCAGAAAATGTTTCTGTTCCAAATGCTGTTTTGACAACTCATGGAAGCAGTGCTTTTAGAATAGATTCTAAGCCTTGCCAAAGGTCAAGCAGACAAGAGCTGAGCAAAGTTGTTTGTATACCTGTATACACACAACATTTGTTTATACTCCGAGGCATATTGAAGCCATGGTAGAAACCAACTGCCTGTTAAGGAGGTAAAGGGTACTCTCAGTTCTGCAAAATAGAAAGAGATCATTCAAGATCACTCTAATGCCTTCTGTATTCAGTCCAGTGTCCAGTGATATCCTAGACCAGCCCAAAAAGGGAAAAACAAGTTTAAAGGCAGTTGTCTGGGTGTGGAATCAAGTGACATTGAGATGTCTCTCACAGGTCCACAAAATGGTGTTTTTTGTAATTTTCTTGTAGTCCTGGGCCTACCATGTGCAGTCACATCCATGTGTTTCCTTGTTCAGCTGATTCCTCAATCCTGTCTTAAAACTGCAGAATAAGTTTCACCAGTAAGTCACTGTTTCAAATCGATTCTCAAGAAATTCTAAAATGCTGCTGTTGACAATGCCACTGGCTTGGGTTGTGAAAAAGCCAGATACTGAGAACCACAAAAAAGGGCCTTGAGAGGCGGCTTCCTGCTTAGAGAAGCACTGAGATTCCAGAGCTCCATGGACACTTACTGCACCGAGCAAACAAACCCACCTGACCTCTACTTGACTGAGTACATTGGTACAGAAGAGGAAAGAACCCAGGAGGGGAATATAAGAAGTCAGGTGTCTAATCAGATGTCACGGCCTCATTCAAATAGTCCTCATTTTCCTCACTCGAAAAACAATAGATCTCTGAGATAGAATTTTAACAGTCTGACAATTTTTGCTTACATAATAATCTCACATGAAAAGCTACTTTCATTTTTGCAACTAATACAATTCCTCTTAGGGAGACAGGTGATTCCTGTAGACAATAGGGGTCCTGCATATCTACAGTTGGAGTAAAGAAAGTGGATGAGGGGAGCAATGGGAATAAACTATCTAATTATAACCCTAGCTTCTTCCTGGAAGAATACATGTGAATTAGATTACTACTTCCATGTTTCATTCGGGCATTACACACTAATGATTTTATATTTTAACTTTTGCAAATGAGCTTCCCAAGGATATGTCTTTCCTTAGTTCATACAAAAGAATGAAACATCTTCAATTATGCTGAACTGCTTTTATGGCAAACAATGAACATACAAGGTAGAAAAAGAGCTTGAGAAATATTTTACCTAAATGAGTTTTGCTATTTCACATTTAGTTTTTTTTTTTTAAGATTTAGAATCAAGAGTAGTGAAATGGCACTAAAATAAATCATTTTTGAAAGCAAAAACAAGCACATTTCCTTTTTATAATTAGGATTTGTGCTGGAGGCTTCTGTGACTCATTGTTTTATTTACTTCAGTGACATCCACCCATATATTTAAAATGAAAGGAACTTCCTGAACCAGATTCTGGAGAAATATTTCTCTCCTGGGCACTGCCATTTTGACCACGTTGGGAGACTTGAAAATTTGACAAGCAAACTTACTTGACGGTATTTTAAGCATTTCTTTCTTAGAAATAACAACTTGTTCTCAGGAATACAATCCCTTAAGTCAAACTCTAATTTTCCCAGTGATACTTAGGATACTTCTAAGAGGTCATGGGATTATTTCAAGTCCAAGAGTCTAATGCAAGTCTAATGCAACTCTTACAGTTCACAGTGGAATAGTTAGAGCATTGCCAAATAAGTGCTTTTGGCTTTTCATATTTGTGTTGCTTGGGTTACCATTCACTGTCACAAATGTAGAGGCTCAGAGGGACAATCCACTCTGGTTTTTTAATTGGATAGGGGATGATGTAAATTTTTTTTCTTTTTTTCCAGCTTAATTCCAGAGTCTAGATTTTCCCGAGCACTCTTGGTGATTTTGGTCAAGAAAGTCCAAGAACCAGCTCTTGGGAGGAACAATCTGATTAGACAAATTCAGAATGAGAGAAAACAGGGATAATTCAGTCATAAAGGTAAAAAATCTAGGTTTTGATTAACAGCTCCTAGAGAGTATTAGATTAGCCCTGATGGGCCAGGCATGGAACTTCTGTGAGTGAAAGACACAGCATTCTAATTTTTTTCAATAATAAATAAAAATCAGCTGGGTGTTGAATAATTTATGGCTTCCTGTAAAGCTGTATTTGAAAACATCAAGCTGGCAGCGTGGGCCATTCCTGCCCACGCATGGACAGTTGCCATGCACGCATATCATTCCTTTTTGGGAGATGATCCCCACATGCTCTATTATCTAACTTTCCACATTAGCCAGGAACATGAAACACAATTCATATCACAAGGCCACAATACAATGGAAGACAAAGCTGAGGCACCATAGCCCGCTGGTAGAGAAACCTGAAGGGAATAAGAATTTCTTCTAATTATGGAAGCCAATCCCAGATTAGAAATAAACATCAATCCTATAGCTTTGGAATTACTGGAGCTCCTTTCAGAAATAACAACTTAACTTCCCAATTTGGTATTATTGATAATGGTACTTAAGTCAAGCCATGAAAAAAGAGGGTTACGTTTTACAGGCCAATTGGATTATAATGCTGGAAGTAATGGATTCCTGTGAAAGTCCATTAATTCCCTTAAGGAAAAGGAGTGTTTTCATTTCATTTTAGACACTGGGTCTTTACAAACCAAACCTTGAAATTTCTAGTGTCTTTCCATTGAGGAAAAGGAAGAATGTTGATTTGGTAGGAATCTATTATTCTACATCTCATATGCTGTTCTTCCCAGCATGATCCAAGTAATTTTGGTTCTGGTAATTCTGGCCCAGCAGCTGAATGGAAACTTAATTTATCCATGGTTGGACCAAAACCAAAAGAAACACTTGCAAAGCAGAATTCTGCTATATTCGAGATTTCAATTTTGAATGATGCTGATTTCTAGCAATAAGTACTGGGTGTACTGGTGATTATTGTTTTTCTCCTTCACCCATTCTGTCTTATTCCCTTCAGATTTTGCTAATGTGGAATGGATGGCTCTCATTTAATTCTTTAACAGAAGTCCTCAACGCACCTCCTGTGTGTTCTGCTTCCCAGGTGCCTTCCCCAGGCCAGGGCTGCAAGGAGGAAACTTTGCTCTCTGCTGGTCTCAAAGTCGACTCTAGTCTGTGAAATCTGTGAATTCTGTCTCTAACCAGAATCGCATTGCCCCTCTCCTCCCGCTCTGCACTTTTTCGGGCATCAGCTCGACCAAGATCCTTCTTCTGGACTACGTTTGCAATCTCAGCTACTATGTCTGCCTCCGCCTCTGCCTTTTCTGTAGGATTATATTTATGGACATGAACAACATCTTCCCTTTCTCCTAGCAGCTTGGAAAGCAGTGAATAGAAATCGCCTGCGGGCAGGGGGAGAGAAGAAAGAAGGGGTAGAAGGGTGAGCCAGGTACCAAAGCCGTGTAATGTTGTGCCCGAGGAGTCTCGTCTCAGAACATGTGAGAAAGGAAGCTATTCTCAGACCTCCATGCATAGTTTTCCAGCACAATAAAATAATATATTTTAGATTATCTCTTATGTACCACTGATAAATCTTTGTTATCTCAGAGGCCAATAACACTTGATAGCCCTGTCAGCATATAGCAGCCACAAAATAATCATATTGATTGCCTAGCATACTTCAATAGACTATTTTCAGAGTACAGCTAGAGTGGTTGAGAAGTTAGAGTTCAACTGATTCCTAAAATAAGACATTAACAACAGCTATAACAGATAACAGCTCTATTCAATGGCAAATACTTTGAAGTTATCTTTCAAAGCCTATTGGAAGTATAATCACAAAAAACTATAAATTTTGGGTAGCAGGTGCTAACTGAAATCTAACAGAGGCACATGTTCTTGGCAACTGGAAAATCAAAGATTTTATTATTATAGTTATTGTTATTTTCATCATTATTATGTTAGCAATTATTTTTACTCATAATTTATTTTAAGCAAGGAAACAAATTCCAGAAAATTAGTTTGGGAAGAAAAGAATACTGATTTCAGTTTTAGACAAAAGATTTTAAAGAATATCACACTATGATTTGTCACAAAAATGTATTTCAAATATTCCTATATGAAGAATAAACTTAGATTTGACAATCTGATACTATGCAAACGCATGTTTTTGATTATGGCAGACACAAAATATAACTGTTGATAGTTTACAAAGCATTTTAGACCTCATTATTTTCAAGGCTTTAAATCTGTTTAAACTATGGAATGGAAGACATATGTCAAAAGCTTACTTACCTAAGACAAACCTAATGGTAGCACACAGGTCCTTTTCTTCACCTTTTTCTTAGTACTGCCAAGGAAATTATGACTATGGCCTCCAATTCTTGTTTTAATTACATTCACCATACCATTAGATAATATCTATGAAATCTATTTAACAATTAGGAAATGAAATGATAGCCACTTTAGCTATGATACATTCCACGATAAGAATATAATATTAAGAAATTGGTGCAGAGGGATATAGTCTTCCCAAAATTCTCTAAGAGAGTCTGTCATGTTTACAAACAGTATTAAATTAATGATTCAAAGTGTGTTTTTAATTCTTGCCCATGAACACGGCTTATCCCAGGTGAAATCTTCAATCAGAAAATAATTACCCGATAATAAGGGCAATCTCAGGAAAATGAACAAAGCAAACTGTAACTCAATCAACTCTGCTTGGTCACAGTGGCATTCTCACATCACTCAAGCTGCACAATTCTTCTGCCCACACACTAAATGTGAAGTGTTCACACTTTTGTGCAATGAAACATTTTGATAAGAGATAAAATGCAAGATTCCTTCATAGAGGGTCAGGGAACTTAGGTCTGAATACTGAATTTGTGTCATCCGTCTAGGGCAGATGGGAGCATGCGGGCTCAGCAGTCTCAGGAGACCTCTGAGAGCAGTGACCAAATACCAGATGCAGAGCATCTGACTCCTCTGAAATGATCCCTTAGAACCAACACTGGTACCAAAGAAGCAAAACTAAAGCAACGCAGTCAGCTGGTGGGTGGCACACAGGTTCCCTGGCCCTGTGTGAACAGACTAGAGGTATAACCTTCAAGTAGAGATATTGCAAGAGACAGCACGGGATGATGAGTCTTACTGAAGATGGTTTTGTTTGTATTTCCTTTTCTGGGGGTACTGAAGTGCTGAAATTGTCAATCATTAAAACATTTTTTTTCTATTAAGATGCTGGTTTGGAGAATATGTTTAACAATGAGGATAATGGATGGATAGGAAAGAAACTGGCATGGTAGGGCTTAGGTCCAGTGATGGCGCTCTTGTTTTCAATTCTATGTCACAATCATAGCAGATTTTCACCTCGGCGAATAGCAACTCTAAGATGATGTAGTTCTTTTCTTTCTTGGATATTCTTCCAACTAGCTCCTTATTCTTTAGATATTACTGGGATGGCATGCATACCCCAGAAGCGTTCCTTGACAGCCCAGCTTAGGGGTTGTCTGCTCTCTGGACTTTGAGCATAGTTTTTGCCCTGATATAGTTACTACCCAAAGTCTGGTGTGTATTTCACAGTATTTGAATCTGATCCTAAGTCTTGGTAGCTATCCTGGACCTGAAAGTAAGAGACTTAACCTTATGATGATAATGATAAGCACAGCAAAAGAGGACCATGCTATGCGTGGATAAAAGAGGAGGCAGCGAGAAGTTTGGTCCTTGGCATAGCCAGGTGCTCTGGTCCATCTGAGGATGCCCAGCTGCATACACACCACCTCCCTCCTCAAGTCAAAGAAACCACTTGGCACACCAAATATAGCCCAGAGCTGAAATTTCAGCTGCTACTGCTTGAAAATCTTTCAGCTAAGTAAAAGTGTGCTGAATACTGGGGATGGGAGTGTGAACTAGTCCTAGTCCATATTTTTGTGTCTGTAAGCACCTGCCACCTTGAACACACAACTCGAGGGCTTGTTCATTGTGTGTTCCTTCCAGGATGTGGTGCTAAAGCCCCCATACAACATTTTTCCTCCACCAGGATGCAGTTTCTCAGTCAATAATGACAAAGATGGAACAAGAACTCCTTTGTGGCTCTGAAGGAAGTTGTTCATGTAAAGTGGCAAGTGTGCTATGTTTCATAAATTAGGTGTCACTAAATTGCCGTTATTATCATGGACAATAAAGACAAACTCTAGCTATAAAACCACAGTTTTTCTAAAATTTGAGAAACCAGCTTTCTGTTTTAAATTTAAGTATTGAGATCTTCATAATGGAAATGCCAGTCAGCCTTCATTCCAGACAGCCTGTTTTCTCAACAAGCCACTCTGGCTACTCTGAGGGATCTGTTTCGCGGTGGCTTTGCCATAGATGTTGCAGGAGACTTTCAGAATTCTTAGTTTATGATTGGAGGAGGAACCACCCCAACCCCTGTGGTTTGGAAGCCCACTCTGCCTGTCCCGGAGTGGGAGTGTTTGCCCCCTCCCCTTCCTTCCCTCCCCTGCTCAGCCCTCCTCTCTTCTCCTCTCCTCTTGCCCTCTCTGCCCTCCCTCCTCTTTTCTCTTCTCCTCCTCCTTTTCCTCCTCTCTTATCCTTTCCTCCCTTCTCCTCTCTCCTCTCCTTTTCTCACCAGTCTCCTTCCTTCCTCCTCTTTCCCTTCCCCTCTTCCCTCTCCCCTCCCTTCTCCTCTCTCCCCTTCCTTCTTCTCTTTCCTCTCCTCCCCTCCCCTCTCTTCTTTCCTATCCCCTCTCTCCCCTCCCCTGTCCCCTTCTCTCTCTTCTCATACCCTCTCTTTCTTCCCATTCCCTCTCTCACCTCCTTTCTCCTCTCCTCTCTTCCCCTGGTCCTTCTTCTTCTTTTCCCTAGTCTCCCCCTTCCCCTCCACTCCTGCCCCCTCCTCTTCTCTCCTCCTCCTGAGCCTTATCTAGAGTGTTACTGCAGACCCTCCTCTAACAGGTCACAGCATCATGTAGGAAGGCTCTATTTTCCTTCTTCCTTTAACAAGTGCCAATACTTCCAGAAGAGCTTCCTGCTAAAATGCAAATGTTTGACATCTGTACTGCCAGATGTAACCATGACTGGACACATTAAGACCCCTGGGTATTTATACTATGGCTGGGCTGCGGAATGAGGAACTTGGTTTTTAAATGGGCTCATTTTACACATGCAGTTACAATTCAAAGGGCTGCCCTGGTTAGCATCTACTTCACAAGAGAGTGCAGGATCCAACCCTTCCATCCCCACACAGAGGGCACCTGCCCCCAGACTCCGTGTTTGTACTGTTATGTTCTCTATGCTCATGAGTACTTAGCTGCTGAGGCCAACAGATTCTGCATCCCGACCGGTGTGTGTGTGTGGGGGGGGGGGGTGGTTTAGAGGGGCATGAAGCACTGTGGAGAATCCTTTCAGTTCAGATCTTTTTATATAAGCTTGCTCTTTCCTTATTGTCAGGACTTGTCATCTTTGCTTCCTGTTAATCTTTTGCCCAACATCCAAAACATTGGTGTTTTCTGAGGTCTAGCTTTGGCAACTCCTATGTCTGTCTATGGCTTCTTCCCACAGAATGATCTCAGCTAGCCGTTATCTGCAGACAAAAGACTCCCAAATTTGGAAGTCTCCAAATTAGAAATTGCTATAAAATGGTTTCTGGAAACTTCCACTTGGATGTCAGTTTCACAGGCATTTTGAATCTAACATATCCAACACAGACCTCAGTACCCCTGTTCTCCACCCACTATGACACACACACACACACACACACACACACACACACACTTACCTCCCTCACAATTTTAGGCTGTAGTGGATTTTTTTCCTTTTTAACATAGGTTTTTATACTTAGGAAATGAGGAAAAGCTCGAGGTCTTTAAGTCACCTCGCTACGTGGGTTTGGTATTTATAAAATACACCTGCGGTAGCAGATAATGTCATGGAAAGGATCACTGTGTAGAATAATAATCTAAAATTCTACTAACTGAAATTGAACTCCAAGTTGTGTGCTTGCATTAAGTACTTTTTGGCACAAAGTATAATGTTCTATTTAGCAGGGGTAAATCACTATTCTCTGCAAACAAATGAAAATTGCTTTTTTTTTTTTGACTTTCAGGAATACAGCAAGAGGAAACTAAAATAATAGAAATAAACACCAAAAAATTATGCTGAAGGATTTTTTTATTTTGGATGGGACAGCACCATCTGGCAGTGCTGAGGGCTTATTCCTGGCTCTGTGCACAGAGATCACTCCTGGCTGTGCTCAGGGGACCACATGGGATCTCAGGATCAAACCAGGATTCAATGGAACCTTAACTCAGAATATCTCTGTAAGCCTCCCTCATACTATCACAAAGATTTTTTTAGCACTGCTCTGTAGCACTGTCCTCCTGTTGTTCATTGATTTGCTCGAGCG